CTGTTTAAAAAAACCTAAGCCATGTTTTTTTTAATCATGCCCTATTTTGTTCTTGTGTCTGACTCTAGTCCATCATCCAATAGGAACTGCTGTCCATTCCCCAGTGGCTAGAGCTGTCAGAGTTTAACTGAAAGCCATTGCTTCTTTTTGGAAGTCATCTCCTGTTTGTCATTTCAGCTATATTCTGTAAGGGTGACTAGGCTTTAGACCATTTTTTAAACTTATACCATTGGTAATAAGGACCCACTTTTGCCCGTGATGCTAACATGCCCCTATGTAATAGCAAAGAGGATGTGACAGGTCCTCTTTTTGGAGAAATTAGGAGTCTATTAGACCCATAATGTCACCTAGGGACCTCAAAGAAGCTGATGAAGCAACAATCTGTTTCGCCAGCTTCTTCTGGCTACAGGACCTGGAGAAATTACAGAGTGACAATGGACAACAATAAATACTTTCTTCATCTCTGTGCACACCAAGGAAGAAGATGTAACTCGAATTCCATAATGGGGATAGCAGTGCCATAGCCTCTACTCAACCACAATGGTTAACTATTGAAATGGTCCAGAAACAGTTAGACAAAATTAAGGTGAACAAAGCACCTGGACCAGACGGCTTACACCCGCGTGTCCTCAAAGAATTGAGCTGTGTAATTTGAAAGCCATTGTATTTAATTTTTAGAGACTCTCTAATGACTGGCTTGGTACCGATGGATTGGCGCAAAGCCAATGTGGTGCCTATATTTAGAAAGGGATCAAAGTCTTTACAAAGTAATTACAGACCTGTAAGTTTAACTTCAATAGTTGGCAAGATACTTGAAAGTTTGATCAAGGATCACATGCAATTGTTTTTGCTTGAAAATAATATCATAAGCGATAGTCAGCACGGATTCACAAAAGATAGAAGTTGTCAAACAAACCTACTTTCTTTTTATGAGGAAGTGAGTAATAAATTGGACAGAGGAATGGCTGTGGATATAGTATACTTGGACTTTGCAAACGCGTTTGACACAGTTCCCCACATGCGGCTAATGTATAAGTTAAGGTCATTAGGTATACAGCATTCCATCTGTAATTGGATAGAAAACTGGCTTAAAGACCGTATTCAGAGAGTGGTGATCAATGATTCGTACTCTGAATGGTTTGAGGTTGTTAGTGGTGTTCCCCAAGGTTCAGTGTTGGGCCCCTTACTGTTTAACCTGTGTATAAATGACAGAGTTGGGGATTAAAAGTACTATTTCTGTGTTTGCAGATGACACCAAGTTATGTAGTGGAATACAGTCCTTACAGGATGTCTCTAACTTACAAGCAGATCTGAATGCACTGTATGATTGGGCATGTATTTGGCAAATGAGATTTAATGTTGATAAATGTAAAGTTATGCACTTGTGGACTAAAAACATGCATGCGTCATACACTCTAGGGGGAGTATGTTTGGGGGAGTCAATGATGGAGAAAGATCTGGGTGTTCTGGTAGATCATAGATTCAATAATAGCATGCAATGTCCAGCAGCAGTTTCTAAAGCGAGCAAAATACTTTCTTGTATTAAAAGAGGTATTGTTAGGATCAGAGCGCCTCTAGGTGGCGCAGGAGCTAAGACCTGCAGCTCCAGTGCTCACCTGCGGGTGTTTCCCAGCTGCCAGTACTTAGCCATCACCTGGTGCTTCCTGGGAGGATATTTAAACCCTCCCTGCAGTCAGGATGATGGCTCAGTATTGTTTCCTGTTTCCTGAAACTTGAACCCTGAGTCCCCAGTTCCGGTGAACCCTGCTTTCCGTCCAGAGTCCTGTTACCAGTCCTGTACCCTGTTTGTGTCCCGAGCCCGGTTACCCATTTGCAGTCCTAGATACCTCTTGTTGCCATTACCTGCCTTTCCTCCTGTTGCCATTACCTGCTTGTCCTCTTGTTGCCATTACCTGCCTTTCCTCCTGTTGCCATTACCTGCTTGTCCTCCTGTTGCCATTACCTGCTTGTAGTCTGGTTGATGTTACTTATTTATGTTTGCTTTTGGGTGTTGTTTAGTTTTGCTGTTTATTAAACTGTATATAATACATTCTGCCCTGTCCGGTGTGGTCATAAGTGTTTGGTCTTCCTGTGTGGGTGCCTGCGCAGGTGTGGGGTCACCTGTGCCAGTATCCCTGACAGGTGTAGACTCCAGAGATAGACATCATCCTGCGTCCCGAGGCTCTGTGACACCCGGAGCGGTAACCGAGTGTCACCCCGCCGAGACGCCACTGCGCATGCGCGTGACGTCACCATGCACGCGCGGCAGTATTCTGATACCTCCCGGCGGCCATCTTGGTGATGGACGCCGGCAGAGAGAGGAGGGGACAGTCACCCGGCGGGATAAGGTATGCCGCCGGGTCCCCTCCTCTCTCCTGATACTGTCGGGCGTTCGGTCCATGACCGAGCGCCTGACTTTTCAATGGTGTCACCCGGGTGCGGGCCGCACCCCCCTTCTGACGCCACTGGCATTAGTAGGACCACATCTGGAATATGCAGTTCAGTTTTTGTGTGCCAGTTCACAAAACGGATGTTGTGGAACTGGAGAAAGTGCAGCGAAGGGCGGCTAAACTCATAAGAGACATGGAGGAGCTCAGCTATGAGGAAAGATTAACTGACCTGAATTTGTTCTCTCTGGAGAAGAGGCGATTAAGGGAAGACATGATCACAATGTATAAATACATAAATGCTCCATATAAAGAGCTTGGTGCCAAATTATTCACGTTAAGGTCACTGCAAAGGACAAGGAGGCACTCTTAGCGTCTGGAGGAAAAGAGGTTTAACCTTTTCATACGGAAAGGATTCTTCAGTTAGAGCTGTGAAAATGTGGAATAGACTCCCCCAGGAGCTAGTTCTAGCTAGCTCGGTTAATTGTTTTAAAAAACATCTGGATGTATTCTTAAATGCACAGAATATTACTGGATATTTAGTTATTATAGGTATATTAGGCATCAGAGATTGTTGATCCAGGGAATATCCGATTGCCTTATGGGATCAGGAAGGAATTTTGTTCCCCTGTTGGAGCAAATTGAACCATGCTTTAGAAGGGGTTTGTTGCCTTCCTCTGGTTTAAACTGTGGGCATAGCGTTCTATTTAGGCTTTTCTTCTTCTTTTTTTTTTTTCTCCGTATCTCTATAGGTTGAACTTGATGGACTTGTGTCTTTTTTCAACCTGACTAACTATGTAACTATGTAACAGAAACACATCACTTCTGGGTCCAGTGATCTGAGGGGAGGTCAGCAGCTGGGAGTGTGCTGAAATCCCTCCAATCTAAGAGGACAGACCCGACTTGTTGATCCCGTGCCCGCACAGGGGACTGGGTGGCAGCACACTCTGTGGCACCGTACATGCAATTGGGCGGCTGTATAGCTGCCGGATTGTGCTTGTATCTGAACAGCCATCGCCGGCTGTTTAAAACTGTACCAAGATCTTGATAAAACTGCTTCAGAATGCCGCCATTTATCTACGTTAGGCGGTCCTGAAGCAGTTAAAGTCCCCCATGCCCCTAGGTACTCACACATACAAACTCAAACAAGCGTTGGGTGCGCCTGTGTGCGAAAATGACGATTGCACCACACATTACATATCACTGCGAACGTTGGAGCAATAGTTCTAGGGCCATCAATCACTATTAACAGTGATTAGTGGTAAAAACTATTAATGCGTTGCTTATGGGAAATTTTGGGCAATTTTAATGCTTGACGTGTTTGTTATCTATCTACCCGACACAAACCCATTGTTTGTTTTACTAAAAAATTGAGCAATATTTTCTGTTTCTGTGCGTTAATTTTCATTTTAGTGTATTTTATCCTAACAATACTGATTTAAAAAACATTTGTGCACATTTTGTGTAACAAAAAAATCTGCAACTAGTATTTTTTTAATTTACAGGCCTCTGCTTTAAGGAAATATATAATTGTTTGGGGGGGTTTAATCAGTTTTCTAGGCAAAAATTTTGATTTTATCATGTGTGTGCAAAAATTAAGAAATTGCTCTGGACAGCAAATAGTTAACGTGCATGTGGCAGCTGTAAGGTGTGATTGTTTGTTTTTGTTTTTTTTCCTGACCAGCAAAGTTTGATTTGTTTGGGTGCCCTTACCCTAAAGGAAATCCCGCGATCGTGCGATAATCGGCAGGTGTATGGAAGGCGTGCGGCCGTTTCTACTGTACGGTCGCACGTCTTTTGTCTCCCGTGCAGGCTTGAAAACCCGCCGAGAATCGTACTCTCGGGAGACAAATGCCGAACTGGGCAGGTGTGCGCAAACGCACACTGCCCGTGCGACATTGGAGTCATCGGAAGCCCGCCCCTCAGCAGTTTCGATGATCGCAAGTACGATCTGCCTGTTCAAGATGGGCAATTGGCACAAGTTTTTAATTAGTTTACACACCATCGCAAGACAGAAGTCTTGCGATGGTTGTAAGGTGTATGGGCACCTTTAGTTTTGAGATTGCTTTTAGGTGTCACACAAGCAAACCCTACAGTTTGATCAAATATGTATTTTGGAATTCACCTTTAAGTAATTTCCTCTAATGTCCATTGATCGTCAAAGCTTCCTCCGATATACAGTATTTGGTTTGCTTGTTGCCATTAATACTTAGTTGTTTGTTTTGGAAAGGTTATTACCTTTCATTACTCTTCTTATTTGTTTATAGCTTGCTACAACAGAGCTAAACAGAAGGTACATATGAGCTGGCCCCTCTTTTTTGCCATAAAGGTCCATTTAAAAAGTAGAGGTATGACCTATTGATTTAAAGCCAATTGCCACCTTTGTAAGTGGATGTATATGTGTATATATATATTTATATATATATGTATGTATGTGTGTGTATATAATATTTGTGTAGGCAGCAATATACCCCCAAGTATATAAATCTATGTTGCTTTATCCATCAACGAACATTTGAAACTAGAATATAACTGTGAGTATAAAGAAATCCTACTTTGGCTTTAGATTCATTATCTGTGGTAGAATATAATCAGTTTGTGTAACAATTACAGATATCATGAACAAAAAACCAAGATTGGCATGGGAGTTGTATTTAAAAATGGAAACATCAGGGGAGTCATTTAACCTTCTCCAGCTGATTGCCAATGACTGCTATAAGGTAAGAACTTTTTTTCTTTTTTTAAACCTTAAATATGTTCTAAGTAACAGTGACTCTGTCCACTATAAATTGCAAGCAAATATCTTTTGCATTTTTGCAAAACTGACCTCAAATGGTGCTCCAACATTACAGTACATGCAAAAACTATAATAGGCGTAGACATGCTCAAAATTCTGTATATAGAAACCAAGTTGTAATACAGAAACCTCTAATTATTTTTAATGTTTCCTAAATTCTGTAAGGTCATGCAATTTTGTGTACCTGATCATTTTTGTTTATGCATTTTAGTAATATTTATACATAGCACAAATATAATACTTGACTTACAGAGTGCACTGTATAGATTCACTGTAAAATGTTTGCAGCGGCCCTGTTTTTGGGGTGTGTGTCTAGGGAGAGGATGTGCAAGTGAGTGGGTGTGCACGAATGGATCCAGCGTGGATGTAGGTGCTGGTATCCTGACCATAGCTCTGCCATAGCCCCGCCAGCGTAATACTTTCCCGAACGCGGACGGACCGCATCGAGGGTTCGGGTGCACGATAGCATGCATCGGTGGTCCTCTCCCTAATCTTCCCAGTAAATACCTGGGTCTTGGTGTGCTGAGGCTGTGGAGCGGAGGTGGACCAATCCGGTTGGAGGAGTGGTGGTGGAGCCGCAGTGACATTGCTCTGTGTGGCGGCGGGTGGACACTAGCTTGTTGGCTGACGGAGGAGAAGGTGTTCTGGTGGTGAATGTGCTGTTGGCTCCCTCCAGTGGCAGAGAGTGGAGGTGCAGAGTACTGGACTCTGTAGAAAGAGCTGGGTGAAGGTGTTTTGGCTCCCCCTGGAGGTAAAAAATGAAAAGTGTGCCTGGGCAGACTGTTCAATGAGCAGTAATAGCTGATAATAAAATGACCGGGACTGGGACAAAAAAAAGAGACTGCCCAAGAGGCTGCTAGTGGTGGGGGAACTAAGCAATTACCCCGTGTACCTAAACAGGCCAGCAAAGAGAAGCAGAAAGAAGTGGTGTCACGATTGGAAAAATTTGCCAGAGGAACTACAACAGGTATGGATGCCAATCAAACAAACAAAATGCAATTAAGTTTTGGAGATAAGTCTTTTTGTAAAGTGACTGAAGATGTATTTGAGGTGGAAGGAGGGGCTACAGGGGGAACTATGGATATATCTAATGGACAGTTATCTTTATTAAATCCTGACGCCGCAGGTGACCCCACTCTTAAAAATGTGTTGTCGGCAGTACAAGCCAGTAATAGGACTTTGGTATCCATGGCAGAGCAAATACAAGCTATGCGAATAGATGTATCTTCTCAGACAAGATATGCAAAAGATTAAAGAGAGGTTGACAGAGGCTGAAGATAGAATTAACAAGCTGGAGGATATAAATATCTCTATGTGTGTGGATCTTAAAATGGCATTGCAAAAAGTTAATAGTTATTCCCGTAAAATTGAATAATTGGAAAATAGAGCAAGGCGCAATAACATCAGAATGGTAGGAATGCCTGAACAGACTGAGGGGTTAAATCTGGTAGCCTGTATGAAAAAGTGGATATTAGGAGATAAATGTTCTTTTCCTATTGTCTCTATGTTTATGATTGAAAGAGCCTATATAATTCCTGCACATACTCATGTGCATGGGAATTTGCCAAGGACTATGCTGTTTAAAGTGGCTAACTATAGAGACAAGGAGGCAATCCTCTAGAAAGATCGAGAATTGGAAGCTATATCTATTGCAGGTGCGAGAGTGATGTTATTCTCAGACTTTCCAGAGAAAGTTCAGAAAAAAAGGCTCAATATCAAGAAGTGAACAAACAAATGCGCCAGATGAAAATACAATATTCAATGCTATATCCAGCGAAAATGCGTATAATTACTAATGAAAGAACTAATTTTTTTTTTAAATCTCCTTTAGCAGTTTTGGCCTGGTTGGATAAATATCCTGTGAGTGATACAAGAGGCAGGAAGCCATGAGGAATAATGTGGGATCTGAGGATATAGTATATTTAGAATTGAGTATAAAATACACCACATTGATATCTGGAGTGTAAGATGAATGTTTGGGTGAAGTTAATGTCTCTAATACCCTATTTGGCTCCTGAGTGGAGTATGCTGTATAGATGTGGGGGGTTAATGTAGAAATGGTTTGTGGGTTTTTTATTTATTTTTTGCTTTTTCCTTTTCTCTTTTTTTTTTGTCTGTGTTGTGTGTTGTGTTGCTTTTTTTTGTTTGTTTGTTTGGTTTTTTTTCTTCTCAAGTGCCAAATTTTTATTTATTGCTTTTTTCTCTCAAGTACCAGATTTCTATATGTATTGGAGGGCTATTTTCAATGTTTGGGAATTGTAGTATATGGTAGTATAAAAGAACTAAATATAAATGGATAAGCAAAACATTTCAATAATATCTTGGAATGTGAGAGGTTTGGTCAATAAGACAAAGCGCTGTGACGTCAATTATTTGTCTTCAGGAAACGCATTTGATAGGAGATGGTGTTGGATGGCTGGAGCAGATTTTTGCAGTATACAGCTCTTGCATGTTACTCTGCATACTCTAGAGCAGTGGTTCTCAACCTGTGTAACCTCAGGACCCACATTTGTCCTTGGTCATTAAGTCGCGACCCAAGTCGCACTGCAATGGAACGCACGGCATTGCGGCACCACGCATTCTGGTGCGGGCGATTGAACTGTGGGTGGGAGGTGCATTTGGGGTGCCATTCAAATGAATGGTAACCCAATGCACCTCCCACACCAGAATGCACAGTAGATGCGATTGCATGGTACAGTGCGATAATCGCAGGGGACTGTTCGAGTAACACACTGTACTAGTGTGAACGGGCCCTCAAAAACACTGACAAACCGACATTCTCAACCACACATACAAAACATTTTTTTTTTTTATGATCCACCCAGTCTCCCTATCTTACAAGAACTGGAGTGGATCCTCAGCCTGGGGTCCAGTGTGGGCTGCTGTGCTGGAGCTCCATCCATATGTGCATTGCCTGTGGAGCTCCCTTGCAGGCCTGTAGAGGTGTCGGGACCCAGAATGTGACGTAATTCTGGTCCAGGCACCTCTACTGGACATGTGAGGGAGTTGTAAGCAATGCACTTATGGATGGAGCTCCCTCGCAGCAATCTATTAAGGATAAGTTTTCCTATTTTTGTTATTGTGATGGGGAACTTATAATTATATGAATATGGCACTAGATAAATTCCCAGTAAGTAAGCACTTAGATTCTACTTTATAATTTTTGTAAAGAAATTGGGTTATGGGACGTGTGGCAGTTATATACATGTTTTTCGAAGACACATAACACATTATCTAGGATAGATGTAATCTTATTTTTGGTTGATGTAATGCCACTAATTAAATGTCCAATGTCCGACCCAGAGCCCTCTCCCACTTGAGCATATAATTGTGTTTAGGAAAAGGGACAATGGATATTGAGTTAAGAAGTTTATAAATATCCGATATCAATTGTTTACAAAATGGGCCATTTAAACACAGTTTTTCAAATGAAGTTAATGGCGAAAAGGTGAGAGAAGTAGAGACTGTGTATGCAAAGGGTTTGATCTGGAGAAATGTATAAAGAGATCCAGTTGGTAGATTAAACCAAGTTTGCAGGGTATGAAAAGGCAATAAAGTCCCATCCAACAATATCTCTAAAGCGAAAAAGGGAGTGATCCAGCCAGGGGCGAGCAGTATGATAATTAAGGGTGGCAGGCAGAAGGGGCGTGTATAAAAATGATCTCATAGAGGTAGGTGAGGTAAGATTAAATTTAGGCCCTGCGAGACGCCAGATGTCTTTAGTATGCTGCATAGTTGATAAAAGCGAAGGTGTCTGTACAGACTGGGGAATAGACCATAGGAGGGAGTTTAAGTGTAATGTAGAGATCCAAAGATTTTCTATTTCTGCCCACCTGTTAGGTGGGTGTAAATAGGACTAGGAAGCCAAATGGCATAAATGGACCGCTAAATAATAATTAAATATGTCCGGGAATGCCAAGCCACCCTGTGATCTAGGGGCTACTAACACTGACTTGGCAACTCTATGACCAGAAGTATTCCATGCAAATTGAATGAGCAAGCGTTGCAAGGCTTTAAGATCGTGTGTAGGGATTTTGGCAGGCAATGTCTCAAAATAATAAAGCAATTTAGGCAAAATCGTCATTTTAATTGAAACCATTCTGCCAATCCAGGACAAACAATATGGTCTCCATCTTTGAAGATGATCTCTAATTTCCCGATACAAAGGGACAAAATTGGTCTTATATAGAGAAGTCACCCGAGGGGTGAGGTAGATACACAAATATTTTAGTTTATCAAATTTCCAATTATATGCAAAAGAGGACTGGAGGAAAGACAATGCTTTCTGGGGGATATAAATTGGCATTGCCTCAGATTTAGTTAAATTTAGTTTATACCCTGATATATTAGCTAGACAATTCCCTATGTAAATTAGGTAGAGAGATAAGGGGCTTAGTCAAGGTCAATAAAATATCATCTGCAAAAAGGGAAAGTTTAAAAACACGTCCTTTAACTCCTACGCCTGAGATGTCTGGGGAGTTCCTATTATGATTCGCCAGTAGTTCAATACAGAGAGCAAATAGTAAAGGAGATAAGGGACAGCCCTGTCGAGTGCCGTTACGTATAGGGAAAAAGGAGGATAGTGAAAAAGGAAGTTTAATAGCTGCAAAGGGAGTAGAATAAAGATTAGTAATAACATCTAAAAAGGGTCCCCGGATCCCAATGTGTTCTAAGGTGGAAAATAGAAATGGCCAGCTAAGACGATCGAATGCCTTCTCGGCGTCAAGACTCAAAATCAAGGATTCTGTTTCTGAGCGATTCAGAATATCTATAATATCTATCGTTCGTCTTGTGTTGTCTCCAGCTTGTCTGCCTGAGACAAAGCCGACTTGGTCCTTGTGTATCAAAAAAGAGAGAAAAGGACCAAGTCGTAGTGCCAACAGTTTAGAAAAAAAATTTAAGTCTGAATTCAAGAGGGCAATC